ATATAATAAAAAACTTACTGACCTCAACCGTTCGGGCAGTACGGGAAAATATCCAACCTCGGTCTTGCTGTATTGACCTCGCTATCGCTCGGTCAATACAGCAAGACCTCGGTTGGATATTTTCCCGTACTGCCGTCACTCTCGGTCAGTAAGTTATTAATATATATATATATATATATATATATATATATATATATATATATATATATATATATATATATATATATATATATATATATATATATATATATATATATATATATATATATATATATACATATATATATAGAAATATTTCCCACAAAATATGGATTTTTATGTCACACCTGAACTAATTAGATAAGTGAGTAACAATTTAATTATATTTAATGTTAATCCCTGGCGCGCCTGTTGAAGAGGGAGGAAATTTAGAGCACTTGAAACTACGTACCAGCTGGGCCAAGATCAAGGTCGATCTCTTGGTATTAAACCAAGATAACTTAGATATTTTGCAAGTCTCCAATATCAGTGGTCAAGTGAAGAACTCAGAATTTACCCACCTCCTCCCGCAGGCCTGCCAGCAATATCATAAGCGTTTATTTTGTACCTGATTGTATATAATTAGATATATATGAACTTTTTAGCGCGTATATTCCAGCCACCTTTACTGGCTATAGAACACTTATATAATCAATCTAGACTTCAGTATTATTTTGATGTCAGAGAATACATATATATATATATATATATATATATATATATATATATATATATATATATATATATATATATATATATATATATATATATATATATATATATTTCTACAACAGTATATTAACTCTCCTTTCCAGGTGGTGATACAAAATTTCACGAATGGTTAAATGAAATATACAAAAGAACCCAAATAGACCCTACGACTATGAATAAGGTCAAGGAATACGTCACAAAACGAGTCACTCAAATATCAGACCTAATAAAGGCAGAGTGTAGCTATTTCGACTTTCTGCAACTTCGGGGATCAGCCGAGGAAAATTTGAAGATATACTATCCGGATGAATTCGATTTTGTTCTTTTCAGTGAAAAGTGGAAAGATAAAATTACTTTCAACGAAAGACAAAACCTTCCGGGATTTGCGTACGCGATGCGACAAGCTTCAACGTGTCTGGATAGGTATGTATTATAATAATATCAAAGCCCAACATAGTGCTTTAAGTAGAGCCAATATAATTTTGACGACTTCAAAATCCTATCTTCCTCCTCTGACTCATGCGAGCTTCTCATATCTAAATGCAAACCTTCTCTGAATGTCCAAGGCAGCTCTATTTCTCTTAACCTCTTCCATTTGCCACTCGATTTTGTATGTACTATAGAAGTGTTTTATTAGGTTTAAAGCCACGAGCGCGAAGCTCGAGTGGCTTTAGACCTAATAAAACACGACCCGCGAGTTTTTTAAATGGCTTCAAAAACGTATGCATAATAAGTCAAATCTTTATATAAAAATCTTTATATAAAAATCTTTATATAAAAATCTTTATATAAAAATCTTTATATAGTTTGCATAACAATGGTCTTTTGTTAAAGTGTTCTTTAGCTGGTATAAAGACGCATGCACGTGACTAATTTCTTACTCAAGATTGGATAATTGCTTCATGAATTATTAATGAGTTTTTGAAGTATTATTTAAAACACGAGCAGGAGTGTTTTATTGGGGTTAAGGCCACGAGCGCGCGCAGCGCGAGTGATTTAAACCTAATAAAACACGTCATGCGACTGTTTTAAATGGCTTCAAAAACGTTTGCATAATAAGCCAAATCACTATGCTAATGATATTTCAGTATTGTCTTAAAATCTTTATATAAAAATTTTTTTATCAAAATCTTTATATAAAAATCTTTATATAAAAATCTTTATAAAGAGGCATGCACGTGGCTAATTTGCAACTCGAGATTGGTTTTTGAAGTACTATTTAAAAAACGAGCAGGAGTGTTTTAAAAATGGCTTCAAAAACGTATGCATAATAAGTCATATCTTTATATAAAAAGTTTTAAATGTTTTTAAGCGTTTATTAGCAAGTGGGAACGACCAACGTGGCCGCCATCTATTCAAATGGGGGTAACCGCTGGAATATTCTTGGCTTCATTTTTACTAAAAGAGATGCGCTAGCTAGTGTATATAAGATATCTATGATATATCCTTGTAAATATAATAATACTGTTAACCTATATATTCAAATTATGCATGTATTTTATCCACTTTGTCTGAAGATGTCTTAAGTTAAGACGAAACGTCACAATAAATATTTTTTCTGATTCTTTTTGTTTTAATGGCTCTCAAAAGCCTATATGTTGGGCTTTGATTTTTATTACCAGACGTGATTCGACAACACGGGAAGATGTTTCAGTGTTTGAAAGTTAATAAAATAGTCAATGAAAAGAAATTTTAGCTGCGTTGTACTTCGAATCGCGTCCGGTGTGTCTCGGCCTTAAGTCTACGTTAGACTTTCTGTACTAGATTAATTATATAGTATCATTTAAGTTAAGATTGAAACAACATGCCATATTAATTAAGTATATTTTACAGCTCACATGCATGTAAACTACTATCAAATAATTATTCTGTCTGCAGAACCAATAAAGCGTTGGAGATGTGATTTGCTACTTCATGTAGCTGTATCTGAGGCGTTCGAAGTAAACAGTCCATGCGTCATGATAATGCAGTCTTCATGAAGAAATAAAGTTATGCTCCCAGTTGGGCGATCAAGACTGCTAGGTTTCACCTCACGCGCATTTATAATAAGCGGGATGGGGGGGGGAATAGATAAAATACGGTATATCAATTTAAAGTTTGTTCGTTCACGGCAACCAGGTGTATCAATCATGTTTTCGCTCGCTACTCTGGTTTATATAAATGAAATACAAAACCCAGTCGAATTGTATTCACGACCCAACGTTTCGACACTCCAGTCTAGTTTCTTCATCAGGGGTGATCTAAAGTTGTAAAGTTGCTTCTTATATACCCAAGGGATGATGTCATCTGCCAATATTCTTCTGGCAAATAAGCACCGTCATCCCTATTCAAAGCATGATTATTCATATCTATATGTAATTGGCGATAGCTGTTGCGGTTTCCCAGCCATATGACTCTTATGTATAACTTTAGTCTTTGAAATATGTACATTTTATTATCTGTATTATTAACAATTATGGCGGCAAACCTTAATAAAATAAAATAAAATAAAATTTATGCCACGCTTCTAGGCAACGTCTTTGACCATAACGATTGTTTGTGGTACCTAAGACGTTGCCAAGAAGCGTGGCATATAAATATGAATAATCATGCTTTGAATAGGGATGACGGTGCTTATTTGCCAGAAGAATACGTGCATCTTATAGGCAGATGATGTCATCCCTTGGGTATATAAGAAGCCACTTTACAACTTTTGATCACCCCTGATGAAGACACTAGACTGGAGTGTAGAAACGTTGGGTCGTGAATACAATTCGACTGGGTTTTGTATTTCATTTTCTATAAACCAGAGTAGCGAGCGAAAACATGACGGTATATCAAGTTTCTTTTAAAATAGGTACCAGCTTACAGACCCTGCAGGCGTCATCGATCCAGTACAAGTAAGAGCTCACATGAAAAATCTCGTGGTAAAAGCTTTGGATAAACTAGGGATTACAACAACGGTCACAGAAGTTGGGCCTGTGATCAATTTTGATATACCATCCGAAGAAAAATCCTTTCCAACAATCGATATCGACTTGGTCTTGTACATCCAACAAGAAAATTGGCCCACGACTGCGACTACCGTTTTAAGCCCGGAACTGAGGGCGTTAGGCGTGGGGCTTGTCCCGAAAGTACTCGAAGAAGACGAAGAAGTCTGGCAAATTTCATTTTCTGCCATTGAAATACAGCTTTTCAAAGGCATCGATGCAGATGGGGGAAGCCGAAGAAAACTGCTGAAAATCATGAAATATTTAAAGTTGATTACTGAGTGGCCTAAAACCGTGTCGTCGTATCATTTGAAAACCATCATAATGAAAATGAATCAGGAGCATCCCGACCGAGCTTACTGGATCGACGCCAATCTCGTTGCCCGCTTCAGAGAGTTGCTCAATGCGTTTCTTAACGCGCTGAAAACAAAAGCCTTGCCAAGTTTTTTCATCCCCACCTTCAACTTATTGAAAGGTAAAGATCTCACGGAGGCCATCCAGAAAGTCGAAAAATTGATAGAAATTATTAAGACAGACCCCAATTCTCTTTTCCCACAACAAAGCGCAATGTGTAATCCGCCACAGACGTCTTCTTCTGTTAGCAACAAGCCACTGAAGAATAAATCGTTGAAGAAAAGGCTGAGAATCCATAGTTAAGTGAGAACAATGATTTACCATGTTGCAATTAATTATTATATCGAAGAGATAAAATACATTTCACATGTACTATTTTAGAAACGATCTTCAGCTTTGAGTCTTATGTCTCTGAAAAGTCTGTACCAGTGTGGGCAGTACCAATGTGAACTTGATGCGGTGGATGGGTATATTACTACCTGAAAAAATAAGTAGAAACTCGACGTTTCGAGCGAAGGCCCTTTGTTAAGAGTTAGTAGCGGGGATCGGGAAAAATGTATGGGCTTTTATACTAAGAGTATGAAAGCATCACGTGACAAAAAATAAACCAATCAGATGGATTTAATCATAACAAAGTTAAACAAAATATGTAAATCGCATTACAGAATATATTAAAATATAAAAATACAGGAAGCTTTTAAAACACAAATACTATATACAAAGAATATCGTATTTACTTCGCATTTACTTCGCTTCATGATTTTCGACCAGGTTTTTTGTGGGTGTTGTAGAAAATGTAACTATATTAGATACAGTAATAAAGTCTTGTAAATATATACATAGAGGATGAGCTTATAGCGGAAACTGGCAAGTCGTACGCCGCTCCTTTTGTAGTCGCTACTGTATTTGTGAAAAGGCTTCAGTGACTAGCAGTTATTACGGGAAAAACAAACTGCGGAAGTGAGACACTTTGTATTTTGACTGTCAAAAGTACTTAGGAATTTAAAAAGTTAAGGTTTCATCATATATCTGTTTTGTAACCAGATGTCTCACATTTTTTATCAGAATTTTTCAACATTACAACATCAGCCATCATTCCCAAGATTTATTTTACATGTTTTACAAAAGATATTGTTACACACTATCTGTTAAAAAGTAAGGTTTTACATCATATTCAACACCAACACACACACAAAGGTTTTACCTTTTCCAAGATAGCTTTACAACCTGGTTCCAGGCCTCTTTTACGCGGTTTTGGCAAGTACATTTGCCAAATTGTGTTGTTACTTGACTAATAGACCTTACCGATTATTCACTTTGACCCAATGGCCTCGTTTCCATGTTTGCCTGTTTTAGCACGCCAGACTTGCACATGCAGGCTACATGCCATGTGTCCTACACGAATATGTTACTTTTTATCTTGAGCCCAATTACAAACCTATCCTTAAATGTATTGTGCACGAAACACGAAGACTGGTACCACATGAAAACGAGGCTATTGGGTCAAAAGTGAATAAACGGTAAGGTCTATTTCAGAAATATCTCTTTTTTCTCCGATGTCTGAGCAGAACAATGCTTGTCCGAGCACACATTTCGGACAATAAAACATTCTATAACATAACACTATACAACAATAATACAACAGATACTTTCGCAAAAGTACAAACACAACACAATACAACAGATACTATCGCAAAATGACGTGCATAATAGGGCTAACAACATATGCTTACAAGAACCTTCAGCAATGCGTTGCTCTTGATACTTTTAGGACTTCCTTAATTAACCATTATTTCGATACAACACGGCAAATGTACTTACCAAGATCCCTGCAAAAAAGGCCTGCGCAAAAAAGATCTGCGCAAAAAAGATCTGCAAAAAAAGGGCCTGCGCAAAAAAGAAGAGCTATTTTGGGAAAAGTCTATTATACATGTCAATAACTAACAGAAGCAGCTTGCATCATCATCGTCTTCGTCGTCGTCGTCGTCACAAGTACAATGGTTGACAAGAATTAGAACTAATGTGACTGGCTAAAATGACAAAGACGATATGTGAGTAAACTAACAACGACGTCTGTGAAAAACATAGAAATGTTACTCACTTTCAACAGCAAGTTTAAAATGGACATTCTGGAAGTGATGTTAAGGAAACGTTTTTTAGCTGGTTGATCAAAAATACTTTTCTCTTGAAATCTGAAAAAATCTTAGATTCGAATGTTCATTCAAACAATGGTTGGCGCCATTGTAAAACAGTAATGTTGGAAATAAAGGATACCCAAAACTGAATCTGAAATGACTTTTCTCTTTGCACCCAAATCCTATAAAATAAATAAGATGATATTTAACAATAAACTAGCTTACAGTCTATATTTTAACGAGCCAGTATCAATATTCACCACAAGAAGATAAAGTTCAAGACATTTTAATTACCAGAAATATTCCTTGTATTGTTTTCGGAACAGAAGCAAAGTGCATGGTTAAATCCAGCAATAATCACCTAATATACTATGCGCAGAACGGACTGTACCGCATCTTTGAAGAGCTTTCAGGATGACGAGCCATTACACTCAACGTTTCAAATTATCATGAACTTTAGGTTTAATTATTTTGACCGGAAAGTTCAAGCTTGTTGGATGATTGTTTTCGTTGCATTATTCTTTCGTTAGTACTGTTATGATGTTCAATGACAATGATCCAAGGGGCTTCCCAATAGAATTTGGAGTAGGAGGCTTTTTTGAAAGAAGTAGGCGATTGTGTGGTGCTGAGGTACCTCGCTATGGGGAACTTTTAAAAGCGTCTCCCAGTGGAGATTTTCAAATTTAAATGTCTGAAATGGCATTTCCATCCATTTTGGGAGAGTGGTTTTGTAGATTTTGTCATATCGAAGTATATCCGGCGATTGTGTACGCAAAGGACGGCGAAAATCGCTCGGTGCTAGCTTCTATTGGAAACCCTGACCAACGTTTTCCGCAACATGTCAGAGATTACCTGTTTCGCTGTCACCGTCATATGTTACTGCTATGAGAATGATGTCATGTAACAATGAGAATGCCACTCCAAAGAAAAACTATCAAGAAAATTTTATTAGACTTCAGTTTTGTCAAGAAGTAAAACAAGGGTTGGGATGAGATTGTAAATATATCTTATTGAATGGTTTGACATATAATCTGGCCGAGCAATTTACGAGTTTCGAGAGAAGCGAGTAAAATGCTCAGCAGGATTTAACACTGACGTCATCGTTCTTGAATTTGTTTGGATAAAATATCAGTGATATCACAAACAAATAAAACCTGTCAATCAAGTTTTTTCTGCCACAAACAAAAAGCTGTTTTGAGTTGATTGATATCGAAAAATATAAACAAATAGTACCAAAAACAACAATTAAATTGTTCAACTCTTCGTCGTTTTCTGCAAGCGGGAAATGCAATGTAGAGCGCAACAATTACGCCAAAAATGTTCAAGTAAGTTGTCATGATTTGTTTTCATTGAAAAACTAGTTTTTGAAATACTTTTATATAAGGTTGAGATTTTGATATACAGGGTGTATAAAAAAACCCCGAACAGATTTGAAATTGCTTTCAATTTCGCAAAACACCTATTTGTATCCAATTTTTTATCTATATAGCTTCTTTGGGTACTTATAATGTAGAATAATGAAAAAAATTTCTCGAACTCAAATTTTGTGAACCAGGGGGGTGTGTCTTTTCCAACAAATTAAAAATGGCTCGCGCACAAAATTTAAACGTAATCATATTTTGTGTTAATAGATGGAAAATTTGTCGGGTTTTCAATTACTGTACAAAATTTCAGACAATTTGGTTTAGTTTAAGCCCTTTAACTATTTATTTTATTCTAAAAAATCAGCCTTTTGCATGCTTAATTATGCCTTTTCCATAATTTGCATATTGCTGACATATGCAAATTAGGCAAAAGTATTAATTAAGCATGCAAATAGCTGATTTTTAGGAAAAATGTAACTAAACCAAATTGTCTGAAATTTTGTACAGTAATTAAAAACCGGACAAATTTTCAAAATATGATTACAACTTTTAAATGTTGTGCGCGAGCCATTTGTAATTTGTTGGAAAAGACACATCCGCCTGGTTCACAAAATTTGAGTTCGAGAAATTTTTTTGATTATTTTACATTATAAGTACCCAAAGAAGCTATATAGATAAAAACCGGATACAAATAGGTGTTTTGCGAAATTGAGAGCCATTTCAAATCTGTTCAGTTTTTTTTATACACCATGTATAGCACTTTTTCAGTTTTTCTGCACTCTGTTTTGCTCGACAAATTTGAAGTAATGTGTTTTTCGTTCGAAAAGTTGGATTTTTGTTTCGTCCTAAGCAGGAAAAACTTGTTTAGACGAGGGCAATATGGCTTTTTACCCGGTAATCCACTCTCAGATTTGTCGTGTTCTCATGACCATATTTGGTAAAATCACGTCATTGTCATATAATAAAATGAATTAATGAGTTTCGATTTTGAGAAAAGCACTTCTGATATATCTTGTCGTATCCAAATACTTGTCTACTCATACAGTGTCGAGTATACAGGGTGCATAAAAAAGTAGACCCTTTCAAATTCAAATTAGCCACTATTTAGACACAAAACAATAATTGTAAACATTTTCATAATTCGTTCTTTATGTTTCGATTATTAGCTACTTATTAGAATGAAAATGTTTACAATTTTCGGAGCGTCTATTGTTTTGTGTTTTATTAAAATACTCTATGCCTATGGCGGTCGTAATTTTTTGTCTAATGTATTAATTGAACAGCCGAGTTATAATTTGAGTTATTTTGTTTCATACGATTAGAAGTTATCCCAAATTTCGCATGTGTGACGCATCCATCAGTAATTCGAAACAATTAGTGCTGTCAAATTACTACAACAGGTTATATGGCTAATTTGAATTTGATATCCAGGACTTGGATCTATAGATGTACTTTAGTAATATCCGTGTCTCTAGTTTACTATTTTCCATTTGATGCAAATAAATTTGTTGCAATCCTGTCCACTGTAAACTGAAGGATAGAATTTCTCATCGTGCAACTAGAGTAGAAGGTGTATATTGATCCAATAATTTCCCTATTAGTTGGTTGGAAATGCGAATGAAAAAAGGCTGGTGTATGAGCATTATTGGACATTGCTTTCCTTTGGCAAGATTTATAATTGTTCCATCTAAAGCGGAATTTATCCGTCATCTGACCAACATATTGCTTCTTATACACTTTACATGTCAAAAGATAGACCACGCACTTTGAAGCACAGTTTAAATGATGGTTCATCATTTAAACTGTGACCATCATTTAAACTGTGACTCAAAGTGCGTGGTCGATCTTTTGACATGTAAAGTATGTGAAAAGCAATATGTTGGTCAGACGACGGATAAATTCCGCTTTAGATGGAATAATTATAAATCTTGCCAAAGGAAAGCAATGTCCAACAAAGCTCATATACAAGCCTTTTTTCATTCGCATTTCTTAGGCGAAAAACTTAATTATGGCTTAATGAATGAGTTGTAGACCACACACAAAGAAATGTAATCCAAAGACAAATGAATAAAAGTATATTTATATTACTAAACGTTTATGATTTTACTGTGAAAAGTCCAAAACTCTGATCAGTCCCTTCCTTCTACTGCGCCTGACCATCCGAGCCAGACCGCTGACCAACATCTCTCTTCCTCCCCCCAAAAAAATATATATATATATACTAACAGTAATTAGTTTTATTTTATTTTAATAATAGTTCCAGTCCATGTAGTACATAGTCTTTTAGTCTCTCTGGCACTCTTTTCGTCCTGGTTGGCCTTTCTGACAACTCGGGCAGTGGAATGGGCGTTCGCTGAGTAGGTGGAATGGGCGTTGATGGTTCGTGTGGTGATATGGGTGTCAATGGTTCTTGTCCGTCATTCGTTACCGTTATTTCCTTTTTGGGTGGTCGACTTGGAAGAATGATGGGGATTGCTTCCACATCGGTTAAGGACGCCCTTTTATGAGAAGTAGGTCCGGAATCTGACGGTGGTGGTGTTGCCGGTATGATGTGGACACGATTCCTTCTTATCATCCCGTTGGATGTTTTTAATGTGTACGAACGCGATGGTTCTTCCCTTGTAATTTGACCATGGATCCATGGTTTCCGGCGCTGTTGTGGAGGCGGTCTAGCGTATGCATATTGACCAGGTCGTAAAGTGTCGTGTTGTGGTCCCACTGCTCTGTCGTAATACGTTTTGCTTGTGCTGCGTTTATGCTCTAACTCCTCTTGTATTGTTGTTCTGTTTATCATTCTCGGAACAAGAACCTTGTTTGGGGTTGGAAATTTTGTTCGGGTATGACGACACAACATCCGTTGAGCCGGGGAATAAGAGTGACCTCTCTGAGGTGTGTTTCTATAGTTTAATAGGGCAGCTAGGCTTGAAAATCGTCCGATTTCTTGATCATGTTCTTAACAAGCTTCACCGCTGCCTCTGCTCTGCCATTTCCCTGTGGATGGTATGGTGAAGATGATGTATGGTTGAAATCATACTCCTTGGCAAATTCTTTGTATGCTTTGCCAACAAATTGTGGTCTATTGTCTGTATGACATATACATGGAATGCCAAACCTTGCAAAATGTACCTTGGTCTTGTTAACAATGGTTGTTGAGAGAGTGTCCATTAGTTCATCTACTTCTACCCAGTCTGAGAAGTGACACACGGTGACCAGATAACTTCGTTGCTCGAGCGTAAATAAATCTTGGCTAATTATTTCCCAGGGAAGTGAAGGTAATGGTATCGACTTCATAGGCTCTTTGGTCAACGTCTGGCCGTATTGTGCACAAATCCCACAGCCAGAACAAGACTTCTCTTGCCATTCGTATGTTGGATTCCGCACCAAGATGATTGACATGGATTTTACTGAGCATATCTGCCTGCATAGACTCTGGGATGAGAATCTGATGACATTTGTAAATTATATCATTTTGTATGGTCAGTTCGTCTCTATAATTCCAATACTGTTGTAACTCTTTTGCAACTTTCTGTTTCTCATCGGGCCAACCCTTGATAATCATGGCATATAGCTGAGACAAAATGGGATCTCTTTTGATTTCGACTTGCAGTTTTCCTTCAGTAGTCTTGGTAAGACTTGCATTGCGCTCATTACCTTGATGCGCAAGCTCAATTCTGAATACTTCAAACCCAGTGACTTCAGCTCAAACTGGATCTGGAAGTGCAGCACGCGAAAGGGTGTCAGCAAGATACATAGACTTTCCTTTCTTGTATGTTACTTTGAAACTGTATCGTTGAAGTTTCATCATCATCTTCTGTAACCTCGCAGGCGCTTTATTTAACGGTTTTCTAAGTATTGTCTCTAATGGCTGGTGATCTGTATGCACCTCTATGTCTTTCTTCCCATATAACCATTGATCAAATTTATTGAATGAATGACAAATGGCTAAACACTCTTTCTCAATTTGAGAATATCGTTGCTCGGTGCTGCTCATACTACATGATGTAAATGCCACTGGTTTCAGTCTTCCCTGTTCATCAGGTTGAAGCAATGCGCCACCCAGGCCTTCATCACTGGCGTCTGCTTGTATGACTACTGGTTTGCTCAAATTATAATATGCTAGCGTCGGGGATTTTGAAATCAGCTCTTTTGCTTTGGTGAATGCATCATCTTGCGCTTGTGACCAGTTGAATGGAACACCATTTTGAGTGAGGTTCCGTAATGGTTGAATGGTTGCTGAAAGGTGCTCACAAAAGGGAGAGAGGTAATTCACCATACCTATGAATCTTAATACAGCTGCTTTGTTGCGGGGTGTTGGCATTTGTATGATTCCGGACACCTTTCCCGGGTCAGCTTTCATGCCTTCAGATGTGATGATGTTTCCCATGAACTTTACTTCTTTCAACTTGAACTGCAATTTTCCTGCGTTGAGCTTGATATTTTGCTGGATGCATCGTTCCATCAGTGCAATTAAACGGCGATCATGATCTTTCTCAGCCTGCTTGTAGTCATCTCCTTCACCAAAAACAAGAATGTCATCGGCTATGCAGATAACTCCTTCTAACCCTTCAAGGGCAATTATCAGCCTCTTCTGAAACTCCTCAGGGGCACTGGTTATGCCAAATGGTAAACGTAACCATCTATATCTTCCATAGGTGGTATGCATTGTGGTCATGTGCGAGGACTCTTCGTCCAGTGGTACATGTAAAAACCCATCCCGGACATCAAGCATTGTGAAGCATTTTGCGTTACACAGTTTGTGAAGCTGTTCATTCAGTGTTGGCATCTGATAAATTGGTCTAAGAATAGCCTTATTTATGGTTTGGCTGGGGTCGATGCAGATCCGGAACTTCTTAGGTGTTTCTTTAATCAATTCATTTGAACACCATGGGGTAGGCTCTTCCACTTTCTTAATAATCCCTTCCTGTTCGTACCGATCTAGTGCTACCTTCTCTTTCTCTCTTTTCGCTACGGGAACTCTATGGACTGGCATTTGGATGGGTGACATGTTATCTTTTGTCGTGAAATGAACAGGAGGACCCAGGCACCCGAGACCTGAAAACGTTTCTGCATATTCTTGTAATATGTGTTCCTCTTTCAGTTGACCTGGTGGTGGTAATTTCCTAACAGCAGGTATTTTAATGGGTTTTGAGGGTGTGGGTGGTGGTGTGCATAATTTTGGGCAATTGTTATGAGTTTGCTCTTGATGATTGCATGTGAGTGAGTTACTATCGTCAGCAGCCACTTGCTGCTTTGGGCCTGTGGCCGTGAAATCACTGTATCTTTCCTGGGCAGGAAAGAGCTTAAAGCTTGGTAAATTACCTGGATTCCCCATCTTACTCTTTACTGCTGTGGATAGAGTAAATATTTCATCTGCTTTAATTGTTATCAACCCTAGTCTCTCAGAGTCAGTTCCTGAGAGTAGACCAGGTTTATTTTGCATGACGGACGGTGGTAGGACTTGAAAGGTTAAGGTTTCAAATTTTCTTTCTCTTTCACAAAGGAGTTCTACTTGACCAATGGGGTGCAGTGGCTTACTGTTGCCGTAAGGGTATGGTAAGTGACAGTATTTCTGAATCTTAGTGTCTGGTAAGAATGTTTTAAGTGTAGCCTCAGAAATTGTATTGCATGTAGCTGCAGTGTCTATCTGGAATTTGACATTCTTAAATTTTAATCCAGTTTCTGACATAGATAGGTTGGCAAAATATCTTTTCCCTGGGCGCTCAGTGTTGACATTGTGAACCTGTTCTGCTTCCATTGTTCATTATATTGTTCAAATTCATCAGACATATCCTCTTTATTGTCTGTCATGCCCAAATGGTGTATATTTTCTCTGTATCTGGAAGGGGTCCGACCATATCTACGAGTATTGTTCGAACTTTGTGTTCGATCAAATCTTTGGTTTGATCTCCTGGATTTATTTTGATATGCGGGCCTCCCCCAGGTCTGTGTGGTGGTTCCTCTAAACATACTTTAGAAAAATGGTCATTCCCCCCACATTTTGCACAGGTTTTCCCATTCGCTGGGCAGGATTTCCACGGGTGTGGTCCTTTCTGGTTCCCACACCAATGGCATGTCTCAGGGTCCCGTTTTAATTTCATGTCTCTGTGACTGGTCCAATTAACTTGCTCTTCTAAACCCTTTGTTTCTAAACCCTTTTTAGCCTCCCCAATTATTTTGTTTGTTTTCTGGGCTGATTCTATAGCTTTGGCCTCTGCCACTACATCTTGCATTGTTTTTAATGTATTGTTTGGTTTTAAATGGGTTTTCAAAAGTTCAGTACGTATACTACCACTATGCAGGCCAAATACAAATTTATCACGACACATCTCATCAGTCATGTCTCCATAACAACACAAATTTCCTGTCTGCTCCACCTTTACTTCCCAGTCTTGTACAGTTTCATAAATATCTTGGCTGCTACTCCAAAACTTAAATCTATTGACCATCAATGAGCTTCCAATTGTCCCCGTGTAAAGGAGGCGTAGTCTTACCATCCATATCCACGGTTTCTTCTTGTCTACTTCAGATATTTGAGGCTCGATAGTGTATCTCAGCACGTGCAAAGCTTCATCCGGTAGAGCTGACCGTAGCGCCGATATTTCTAGAATTGGTTGTTTATAGTAAGCATCTTTTTCAGTAACAGGATCTTTTGTAATGTCTCTATAATTTGTCTGAATACAATAGTCGTCAAATCGCACTTCAAAATTCTTAAAGTTTTCGACGATATTTCCGCGGAGTTTTAACTCCGGACGCTTCGCAGTCGAAGCCATCGTGTATCCCACTCCTGACACCAAGTTGTAGACCACACACAAAGAGATGTAATCCAAAGACAAATGAATAAAAGTATATTTATATTACTAAACGTTTATGATTTTACTGTGAAAAGTCCAAAACTCTAATCTCTCCCTTCCTTCTACTGCGCCTGACCATCCGGCCCAGACCGCTGACCAACACATACATGAAATTGACTCCGAATTGAAAGAAATTTCGAGTAGGTTAGGAATTGGCGACAAAATGCCGACTAATTAATCCCGCCAAAAGCGAATCCGGAAAACTAAGTAAGTTTATTTTAGATAACACCAATTCAAATTTGAGACAAAAACTAAATTCAAATCAATGGAGAAATACGCAACAAGTAATTTCTTGGTTTGGCAATATAAACGATAAAGACAGGCACAGTTTTATTTCATTTGATATTGTGGATTTTTACCCATCCATTTCCGAAAAACTTTTAATTGAAGCATTGGCCTGGGCTTCGGATTTGACTACTATTACCGAAAACGATATTTCAATAATAAAACATGCAAGAAAATCTCTACTTTTCGGCAATGGCAAATTATGGACAAAAAAAGACGGAAGCAACAGTTTATTTGATGTCATCATGGGTAGTTTCGACGGCGTAGGAATAGGCAATGCAACATAACGTAGGAATAGGCAACGCAACATAATTTGGTTCAACCCACCATTTAGTAAAAGTGTTAACACAAACATAGGACGGGAATTCTTAAGTTTAATTGACAAACACTTCCCACTACAGCACAAATTACACAAGATTTTTAACAGAAACACTTTAAAAGTAAGCTACAGTTGCATGAACAACGTTAAGTATATAATCACCAAACACAACGCACATATAATTAGGAACAGTCAATCACAGAATACGGAAACTGACAACTGTAACTGCGACAACAAAAACACTTGCCCACTACAGAAACAATGTATGACCAACAACATTATTTACAAAGCCACAGTCACAACGAACAACACGAACGACACTAAACACTACATTGGTATGACAGCGACTACATTTAAGGAACGTTACGCTAACCATGCACACTTTGGCAGCGTTTACACTGTACCGTTTTCGTAGCGTTCTCGTATTGTTCTTAATCCTCAAGGGAACGCAAGACAATAGTCTAGTTCTCTCGAACAATACGAGAACGCTACGAAAACGGTACAGTGTAAACGCTGCCTTTATCTTTTCGTCATAAAAAAGACTCAAACAAAACGGAACTTTCGAAACATATTTGGAAATTAAAAGAAAACAATCAGGATTATACCATCAAATGGTCAATTTTAAAACACGCTATTTCGTACACAGGGGGATCAAAACGCTGCAATTTATGTTTGGAAGAAAAATTTTGCATTTTGAAAGACATAAACAAAGACAATTTACTCAATAAAAGATGCGAAATTTTCGGCAAATGCATGTCGTCACAAAAACCGTTTTCGAGTAAACAAGGTCGTTAACAAAACCTAATGACCCAAGCATGCATTGTTTCACCTAAGCATTGTTTCGCCTACACGCATTCCGCACATTCTTTCGATAGCATAAAAGCAACCTACAATTTCGAAATTATTCACCACCTGATGATTCCTATACGGATGAAACAGACTGTTGTGGTTTTTTGAGGTAAAACGAAAAACTATATATATATGTAAACTGTAAAAACTGATAGGTTAAAACAACCTATTTCTAAAGGTTATAACCAATAATTAAAGGTTCTTTTAACCAATTGAATGGGTTAGAACCGATTTAAATTAGTTAAAATAACCTATTATTATCAGGTCAAGTTTTGCGACCAATAAAAATAGGTTAATTTAACCAATTTTTTTGGTTAAGGCAAATTTACCGATTGGTTATTATTCCCAAATAGGTCATTATAACCATTATGATTAGGTCAACTGAAACACTGAAAGTTAAACTAACCTATATAAAATATGTCGAAATATTTAGTTCGACTTACGACATATACTTTCATTTTCAAGGAGTTATTTTTTAACTGCACTGAGAGTTAAAAACCATTTAATCGTAGGAGTAAAATAGCGAGTAATTTTCCACCAAGTATTTACTCGGCCTGTGTAATATACTCGACCATTATACACATAGGAATTCATAGGAATGACAAAAACTATATATTCAAGTTTCTTCAACCTAGAATTAGGGCGATATTTTCTATACAAATTCGTAGTGAAGGACCGCAGTTCGTGTAAAATCATCACAAGATTTTAATAATTAGCTGTTCGGACGCGCCGTTTTTCTCGAATGTTGCCAAGTCAGATTCTTGTATTACTAGTATATCGGACCATATCGGCTTCATATTGTTCAATCGCACGCGACGATCGAATGTAGCCAGAAATTGTCAGCGAGTTTTTCTTGTCAAATCAATTTAACAGTCATTGCTCTCATGTATATTTTTTATTTGCTGCGTAAATCTCTACCGCGTTTGCCAGAGGTTCTGTAATTTGAACTTGTGGAATGTTTTGCTGCTGAATATAATTTGCGACAAGTGGAAGTTCCAAACTTTCAACCAATTAACATTCTTAGAATATATCACGTGTTGTAGTAATTCGATCTGTATGACACATTGACAACAAGCAGCGCTTCCACTTTGAAGGAAATTTCCTTTTGAAAGGAAATATTTGCAAAATGAAGGAAATTTGAAGGAAATAAATTTTGAAGGAAATGTGAAGGAAATTCTAGAAGAACAAAGGAAATTTGAAGGAAAAAGCAAAATTTCGCCAAAATTGGTAATATATTTAATATATTTTGAAAATGAAGCGTAAAATAAGCCTCAATCTGGTCACAATTTAACAGAGAATAGAAATTGAGAATGTATATTTCATGATTCGATTTTGTCTCCCTCAAATCCTCAATGACGTCATTCAGTTTATAGTTTTTAGTTATCTCCAGGGGCGTTGGAACCTTTTTTATTTTGGGGGGGGGGCTTAAATGTTTTTGGGCCCTTCACTTTTTAACAATGGTCAGTAATAAACAAAGTTAAATGATATTATTTCAGTTACGCGTGTAGACAAAACAACTTGAGATATTTTATGACATTTTGTTACCTTTAGAACTCTGTAAATTAATCTCCTTCTAAAGTGCAGGAAATGGCATTTCAGGGACTCGAGTTTAAAATTTTCCCAGGGGGAATGCCCCCGGACCCCCAGAATGTCACCTGTCATCACCCCCCTTCAGCGAGCACTAAGTGTGCCCCTTCCCCTCTTTTACAGCCGACGCCTGTGGTTATCTAACTTATCTCACTTATCTGTACGGAAATAAAGTCATATAATTGTGTTTAGACTTTAAGGCAACATCCAGATGATTGTTACGTAATTTTATTTATTTTTATAAAGGAAATTTGAAGGAAATTTGACAATTTTTTGAATGAAATTTCGGTCAAAATAAGGAGAAAAAAAGGATTTTTTGGTTTTTCAAAGTGGAAGCACTGACAACAAGCGCCAAAGTTCAATCTTTTGGGAGCAAGCTGCAAGCATTCAAAGAGGGAGATTTCTATTCAAATTTTCTATTATAAAGTTCGAAAGACCTAATAAAATACATGGAATTTGAAAGGTATGTCTATTGTGTATTTACTCATTTGTATGCGGATGGTTTCTAGACATACTGTAGTTATATTTTTATTAAAATCGAAGGCCTGTATTTTATATTAGTCGCTTCGCCCGCCGATTCAGTTCACTGAAGGCATCTAGACGTTCAGTTGTAAATTTTCGATTAATTTCTATTAGCAGAAGTCTATAAATCTATTCTACAGTCTCACGTATATGTGTTGTTAAGAAAAGCGTATAGCTTATTTGTGTGACATACATTTGTATGTTGTAATTTTCTGTTAAATACTTGCTATAAAGAAGATGCTTGTGATGTTACTCTGAGCTAGTGTATATCCACACCGGGCAAGCTTGAAAAATATGCCTGTCCACGGTAGGAATCGAACCTACGACCTTTGGAATACTAGCCCAATGCTCTGCCAACTGAGCTACGTGGTCAGGTCGGTTTGAGTATGTGATATTTCGGAACCAATGTAATCTAGTAATCATGATATTTTCTGTGTTGATGCAATGTACTCCATCTGATGCTTGATATATATTCAATGGCAAAAGAGGCTATGTTGCTGTGACCGGTCACACGGGGTCACATGGTCACACTAAACCAAATCTTATGCAATAATTAGATTTCGATCTGCTCGCAAAAAATTCTGGTAAAATAGACATGCCACTATGCAGTATAATGCCACAATACCAGTGCGCGATGCTGACGATAGTATTATTAAAGATTTAAAGTTGCAAACAACAAGGGTATTCCTGCATGTTTGGAAGTCGGAAATTTAATATCGTATAAATATAAAGTAGGTAGTGTGAATATAATATCCTTAAAAGCTGTCTCACTATTTAATATCGTATAATATAAAGTAGGTTGCTGATAAATCAAGGATACTCTGTTGTTACTGTGATCTTAAATAATGAATGAATTAGCCGTGTTTATACGATCTTCGCGACTTATTTAGGCCGCGGATTATTTTAACTCGTACTGAGAACTTATATAATTTAGTTATTCAAATAACTGATGTTCCGATTCTAGGTAAGTACCACGAGATGCCTGCGGAGGAGGCTATGATTAAGCGTATTTTAATGATTGCGATGCGACTGCCGATACGTAGTTTGTTGCCGAATTTTGAGTCGTTTATACGAATGCTTGCGACTAACACGTATCAGTAATTTTCAACAAGTAGGCTATAATTTTCAACAATACCGTATATAAACGCACTGTTCGCAACTTATTTTGGCCGCGGCCGGCATAATTTCGCTCGTATATAAAGCCCTAATGTTTCTTTGGAAATAACACTTGATTCTTTGTGTATATATTATTAGGCCTATTGCGGTGCCCGTGCCATTTTTGGCACCGCATTATATTCTGCCTGTGAGTTTGTTTGTTTGTTAGTTTGTTCGCATCAATACGTTTCCTTAATCGCCTACCAAAAATTCCTTGCACGTGCTCGGAATTTATTAATTATTATTAATCGTGTACTCTCATGATGATCGACTGTTTGCTCAGCTTTATCTCTGGTTTTATGCGTCAAACAAGGACAAAAATACCACTGTTCGAATCAGCGTGAAAAGTTGTGTTTACGGATGGAAAATTGATTTCAAAATTGACTTCTATTCTAGCTATTTGTCGCCTTTGAAAGACAAAAGCCGCTCAAAATAATCCTTCACGTTTTCCGAATTCCTTTTTTCGAGGAAAGTTTTCTTTCGAATTACAACTCGAACTCTCACGATTGACTTTTTGCTGCGTCTTATCTCTGGTTTTATGCGCCCAATAAGGACAAAAATACCACCGTTCGATTCAGTGTAAGAAATTATACTCACAGATGTCAAATGTATTACTAAACTACAGTATTCTAGCGATTTATGGCCTTTGAAAGACAAGCGAAATTGTATTGTTCACAAATCGCTCAAAATTATTAAACTAATTAAAAATGCAATACATTCGACCTTGATAACTTTCGTATTGTTGGTTTTCTCTTTTTCGGCCGTATACCAGTGGGTT